TTGTTGAGCTGGAAGAATAACAATATACTACCTTTGGTATAAAAAGCAAACATTTGAGTATTCTTTGCACTGAGTGTCACAGTGCTAATAAGTGAAAGTCTTTAATATTAAAAAAAAAGTTACTCTATTTTTATTTTTCATAAAATTGATATTTTTAAAATGACATTTTTAAAAAGTTGGAATCAGAGGCCTGATCTAAGTCAGACTCTTATTTTTTTGGAAAAACCATTTCATAGATAGTTGTATGCTCCATATAGAGACATATAATGTCCAGTTCTCTTACTATTTTTAATGTTAGAAGCCATTAATGATCGATGCCTAGGTCCATGGATTCATTAGGGATTTCTTCATAGCTTCATAGCTGGGATATTTCTATAAAGAGATAATTTCCTGCTATCCTTACTAAAACAACAGCAAAGAGACTATGGTACTTGGTATTTTAAGAGAAGTAACCATTCAGGTAAAACGGGAAAAACAGTTTTGATCCATACTAACTAGTGCCACTGATTAAAGGGAAAGATGACAAATAGGGCCTTTCTCATTTAGGGAGAAACTAATGCATTAGAAACCTAAATGTACATTGTACTTAGATTAAGGATTCAATATAAATGGAGAATGCTCTATGGTGAAAGAAAACAGGTTAGTCCATCCTTTAAGACATTCAAAAATACTTTTCCAAGTTATATTAGAGTTTCACAGTTATTTCATAGAGAAAATTTTGCATCCATCCATAACTCAAGCTCTGCGACAAAAGGTTTGTGTTTCTAGATCTAGATAGCACTGTGAAAAAGGTATGTCTCACTCGTGGGATAACTCCAGAGTATTTACCCTAATTGTCTCAAGTCAGTGGAAATCTTCTCTCAGTGACAAGGAAAATGGGATTGCTTAGTCAGATCTTTTTTCTTGAAACTGCCCTACACATGGAAAGGAGAACACTATCTAGCCAGCAGATAGATAGTTATCCATTTTAAGTCGCATCAGAGTACTGAAATGAACCAACACATAAATGAGGACAAACAGCCTCATTTCTGAGCACCCTTTTGGTATTTCCATATCTTTTTATAGATATATAGGTAACTGTCATACACACTAAAAATGTGGTAGTAGACCTTCAAGGAAATGCTACGGTCTCACAAAGGAGAGAAGCATGACCAGGGGAAAGAGAGGGAGCTCCATAGAAATGGAGAAGCGTAATTAGAGGGGAAGATTCAAGCATTCATTCAACAGCTATTTATTGAATGTCCACCTCCTCTGTACCTTGACATTGTCTCATGGTAGACTCAGTTAAATATGGTTTCAAATTCCAGATCAAACCCTCAAGAACTACATGCCCCTAAGGCAAGTCACTACACCTCTGTGCCTTGGTTTTTCCATTAGTGATCTGTAGATGCTAATATCCACCTCAAAGAGGTTTTGAAGTTAAATAGGAAAAAGACCATATAAAATGCCTAACATGGTATCAGGCAGATAAGCAGAACTCCATGAAAGCTCACCTTCCCTGACCCAAAGCTTCACTTTTCTCCACAGAGGAGAGGAGAGAGATGGAAGGTGGCTGGGGCAGAGGGCCTGAGATTAAAAGTGTGAAAGTTGTTGCAGGGAAAGGGAAATGAGTAAACAGGCTCAAGTAAAATAATTGTCTAAAGGCCCAGTTATGATTCCCTCCTGCCCTGAGGCCACAAATAGATTTTGTTTGTTTTCAGGTATACGGCCAGAGAAGTGAAAGATGGAGGCTTTCCCAGGTTGGTTCAATTTACTATAAGGCTAGATAGCTTTACCAAATTGAAGAGACTAGACTAGTGAATTGGAATTTCTTAAATAACTGAAAGTGTTCCCATTTGTGTTTGGTGGAGAGAGTAAAGGGGCGGGGATAGAGGGAGGCTAAGGCAGGTGAGAATCAGTTCAAATGTGAGATTCACCACTAAGGGATAGGATGACAGTTGTTCTTTTCTAGTGGGAAATGAGTTAATCAAATTGGAGAACAATTTCTCTGGGAGAAGAAACACCTCTGCTCTTTTCCACACCCTACCCTTATTATTTGGCTTTACAAGCATCCCCACAACATAAGATTATAAATTTGGTTTATATCTCCCTTAGCCCAGTCTCCCTTTATTATACCACTTTACTGCTTCTTTGAGGCTGAGACTCTAAAATTTAGGTCAAATGTTCCATTAAGTTAACCACTTTCGAGTACCAATAACACTACTGCACACTTTTTATCTTCAGAGCAGTTCACAAACATCTTCTTCACTAATGAAGATGAGTTGAATATCTAGTGTCTAAAACCAAAGCTATTTAATCATTGTCTGATGTGGGAAAGTAAGACAAAATGCAAGACCAACAAAAAAGTATATTGCATTTTAAACTTGCTGATTTGAGCTTTTTAAAAATTCTTTGAACATGCAGGCAGAACCTGTGCCACAAAATCCCAGCCTTTGTAATGAAAACAGTCAAGATAAGAATAGAAGCAACATCTTAGTGATGGTTTTAGCCCTTCATATCTTTCAGGGAGCTTTTTAATATATTATTTTATCAGATCTTCATGAAAATCCATAAGAAGAAAAGGAATTATTGCCCCTATGTTTTAGACAAGGCTTTTTGTGATTTATGAACCTTGAGTTTCAAGTTACTAAGTATTTGTGCTGGGACTAGAACCCCAGAGTTCAGGGCCCAAGTCAAAGGCTGCTGGGAAGGAAGGATGGAAGAGTCAGGTGGGAGTGTGTGTTTTTTCCTGCTCTTTCAACCAGAGCGATTCCATCCATATACATATTAGGTTTTCGGATTCCACATGGATTTCCACAGTTCAATTTCATTCGAATTTCATTAGACAGAGCAGGCAGCATCTCCTCTGTTGTTCATGACTCAGCTAGATTGTGAGCTGCGTTCCACAATTACACTCAGCAGGCCTGCAATGCTCCATTCACAGCAGGGGCAGTGGCATGCTATACTCTCTCCCCTGCTTGGCCCCCCAGACTCCACCTTGAACACTAACTAGCTCTTCTGGCCAGTGGAGCCAACTGATGGCCTTTGTGTGGACCAACTCTCTCTGTTGACTTCCATTCCTTCTGCATGTCACACAATCGTGTTTTCTCGTTTACCACTGGTCATTTTCATCTTCGTGGGTCTCTTTGACCATCAGCGTGCGCACACACACAAATGACTGTGAGCTTCCTGCAGGTGTCTAACACGGGGTGTGCAACCAGGATTGTTGAAGACACAAACACTCGTGTTGTAGCTTCATTATTCTTTCTCCTTTTTCACAAACTCTTTTCCATTCCTTCAGGAGGAATGTAAATCTTTGTACATCTTCCTCTGTCTTCTTCCTTCTCATTCCACTCCTCATTATCTCTCTCTTTAGTCTTTCTATCAGCGTAAAACAACCAAAACATGGCTGGCAAGGATAATGTCAATTACCCTGTATCTACAGAAATTGAAGCCATTACTTCTGAAGGGAAATTAAGCAAGACAAATATCTAGTACCAAGTGACTACATTTTTTAAAGTGCCTTTAGGTCCAGAATCGTCACAAGTCTTTAGATGCTTCATCTATAATCACTTGCTTTTTTAAAAGCACCCCTTGAAAACTTTTCTCTCCTTTTCATCCTTCAAACTTCAGCTCAAATGTCATTTCCTGCAAATCCTTTACTGACATCCTGAGACTCCATCACTCCTTCTGAAGTCTCCCCACAGAAATTTTAACACACTGTTACCATAGCACTTAATCCATCATGTTTGCTGCCATTAATTGTTTATTTGTTTGTGTCTCACACTAAACTAAATGTTTTTTGTCCTTCTATCTCAAGCAGCTAGTAATATAAAGCCTAGCCTGGTACATAGGTACAGATGCATAATTTTATTGTGGTTGGTGTTGATGAATGTTGATTTAGTTAATTGAATGATTGCTCTGGATTGATGAAAAAAGAAGCTCATTTTTACTCCATTTTTATTCTATTTTTGGAATGGGATTGTTTTCTACTAGTCACTGAAATTTGAAGTGCATTTTTTAGCTGTCTTATGAGTTGTATACATTTGATGACAAACTTGAGAATCTTAACATAGAAATTGCTTCTATGGAAAAATATGTTTCATTTTCCAAAATGTTCAAACATATGCAAAAGAATAAAATGGAATTTGTCTATAACTAAATGGTTTTTCCCTTTTCCCTGATGTCTGCCCCATCCCTGCCCCCAGAATTTCACCCCATTTGGAATATACCTCATTCTCTCCACTCTTCCATGGTGTACAGTTTGGTTTTCTGTTGTGTACCTTGCAGTCTGCTTTACTCCATCATTTATGTATTTTTTCCTGTTGAATATATTTCTCAGAGGATCAGCACGATGCATTTTTTTTTTTTTTGCGGTACGCGGGCCTCTCACTGTTGTGGCCTCTCCCGTTGCGGAGCACAGGCTCTGGATGTGCAGGCTCAGCGGCCATGGCTCACGGGCTTAGCCCCTCCGCGGCATGTGGGATCTTCCCGGACCGGGGCACGAACCTGTGTCCCCAGCATTGCAGGCGGATTCTCAACCACTGGGCCACCAGGGAAGCCCCACGATGCATTTTTCATTGTTAATTTTTCACAGGAGGGTTTCAAAGCACAGTGTACAGGGTAGGTATTCAATAAATGGTGAATTAAATTTTCCTCTGCACAGTTAAAAAGCTCAATAATTCAAAGTAGAGGGATGTTGGTATTTGATGAGATATGGGGGATATTTCAGTCCCAAGTTGGAACAGCACCCAATTTCCCATCATTTGCCATCTGAGCTCAAAATGCCCAAATTTTAGGCTTCATAGTCTCTCTTCTCTCACTTTGCCATCTACTATTCTCTTCTCCAGAGATGAAGAGAAATGAGATGATCATGCCAATAAAACATCCTTTTTCATCTTTATTGTTCTTGTCTGGATGCTTCATTATGAAATGTCAATTATTCAACACTCTAATGAGCTGTCTTCCAAGCACAAAATGTTCTAGTCATCTGGTATTAAAGTGTTGTTTTCTGCTTTTAGGCTACAGTGGTGGCTGTGTTGTCGTTCGAGGAAGGAGTCCCCCTGGTCGCTGGGAAGTGAAGGACTGTAGACACTTTAAGGCAATGTCCCTGTGCAAGCAACCAGTGGAAAATCAGGAGAAACCTGAGCAAGAAGAGAGATGGCCCTTTTCCCCCTGCTATTTGGATTGGGAGTCAGAGCCTGGCCTGGCCAGTTGCTTCAAGGTAATAGGAAGTTTACATGGGCATTCTCAATGGGACCAACATTATTCCAATTTTGTCCATGTATCCCAAACTCCTTTATTCCAGGATAGTGCCTGGCACACAGCAGGTACTCAATTCATATTTGTTGGCTGTCTCCATCCTTTCAGTTATATTCCAAAATAATTTTTAAGTGAAAATACTGACAGATCCCTGGTGACATTGAGGCCTCCTCATGAGGACCGATATCAAGGCCTTGATCAATATTGTTCTTATTGCATATACAAATGAACAAGGCAGACGCTCGCTGGGTATTGAAATGCTACAATTCCATATTGTTTGTAAGCAAATGAATAACGTCCTTCCTCTGGAATAATACCATTCTCCTGCCAAGAATAGCTTTCGCAGCTTTTGATGATCAAAAGTTTATAGAGAGAGATATAGATATATAGAGAGATATAGATACAGATGTAGAGAGAGATATAGAGAGAGATATACAGATTTACAGAGAGATAGATATAGAGTGAGATAGAGATAGAGATATATAGATGTAGAGAGAGATACAGATATAGATATGTACACACATGTGTGTGCGTGTTAGAAATGTCTTTGCAAATCATCTTTAGATCCTAGATTTAAATCAGTACCTACAATCTTCTTCTCAGAAATACATTTTTGAAATATGATGTTTTTGTTTGGTGGTTTTGTCTTTGGTTCATTGTACAAATAGAGATTTCCAAAATCCTGGGAGAAAGATCTTCTCTAGCACCTGGGCACATGAAGAGCAGAATGGAGACAGCCTCTATCTCTAGAAATATTGCAGTCTCATAGATGGCCTGAAACACCTGTAATACACGAAATTTAAATGTACACATGTATAATCCTACATTAAATTCATGGAATAATAGGCCCAGAAGTGACCACACAGAGCAATAAGTTAAACCTTAGAAATGAGTAAACTGCGGCATGAAGTGAGATGAAGTGATTTGCCCAAGATCACAATTATTTATTGACAGAGTTGGAATAAATTGTGGTCTTGGGACTCCCAGTCCAGTGCTTTTTCTACTGCACATCACCCTGATATGTCAACAAATATATGGTGTGTTTGATGGACATAGCAGTAGGACTTGTGAATTTCAAGTGATTCGAGAAAAGGTTCCCAGAGGAGGTGGGTTTTGACATATAATTTAAAAGATGGAAATGCTGTGCTGTGGTCCATGGGACTGGGAAGGTTATTCATCCTGGTCTCAGCAAATCAGAGCCTGGTGAAGCCTGGCCGCAGGGTGCCTGCCTGGCATTAGAGACTCAGCATAGTGTCAGGCAGTTAGAAATGAGAAGGGTGCAGAGGCCAGAATCTGAAGCTCCAGGTCTTCAGTTCCTCACCCTTGACCTTAAATAAAGTCAAAAGTATGCCCGCCATTTGACTGACTTCTTCCTGCTACCGTGAGGACAGCTGAGAAACAGGAAAGAATTTAGTCACAGCTAAGACCCAAAGACCCTAGAAATATACCCGCCCTAGGTCCCAGGTCTCATTCCTCATTTCTTCGCCTGGGTTAGCCAGATTCATTCAACTATGGAATACTAGGTCTAATCCTAGCTCTGCTAGTTTGTGGCTGTGTGACCTGAAATTTGTAACCTCTCTTATCCTGACTGTCCTCATCTCTTGACAAACATTTTATTAAGGGACAAGCATATGCCAGTCACAGGAAATTTAGGAGGGGGAAAAAAAAGAGTTCTCAAGGAGGAAAAGAGTCCTCATCTGTTAAACTGAGCCTATCATATCCTCCGCATGACTTTGTCATGAGAATAAAATGAGATAATGGTATTACAACAACTAGACACCCTTTAGTTCAATAAATGTTATTTCTCCCTACTCGGTCAAGCTTTTAAAGTAGAATAATGACAACAATTATATTATTGTCATCTTCTTGTCCAGAATTAAACAGCCTCACCCTATTCATGACCGTGTCAACCTTTTTTTTCCTTTTACTACACAGGTATTTCATAGTGAAAAAGTTCTGACGAAAAGAACATGGAGAGAAGCTGAAGAATTTTGTGAAGAATTTGGAGCTCATCTTGCAAGCTTTGCCCATATCGAGGAAGAGAATTTTGTGAATGAGCTTTTACATTCAAAATTTAATCGGTAAATACTTGTTAATTTTGAACATTTTCAGTCGCATATTTTGTCTCCAAGTAATGGCTTCTTAGGCATGAGTATCCCAAATATTGGGGGTATTTGGGATATTCAAAATCTCAAGTATTTAAGTCTAAAACCAACTAAGCACTAGTTGTGAAAGAAAAATACATACTTACAGTTTTATATTTATATTGCACCAACTACTCAGTCCATAAAACAAAGAACAGTGACAATTGTTTTGATATTTGAAATCTTTTCTGTGTACCTCAAATCAGAATTTTAGAGCTTTTCTGCCAAGTTCAGAAATTATCTAGCCCAGTGGTTTTCAAAGTGCTGTCTGAGGGCCCAGAGGGTCCTGAGCCCCCAGAGCAGGAGAGGCCAAGTGGGCAGAGCTCCTGGTTCCTTGCTCACTGACTCGGCAGGTCCAGCCAACTCCACTTCGTTGTTTTGTATATAACAGGAGTCCATATGAGATTTGGTTTGAAAAAAAAGTCCCACTAATTTTTTTAAAAAATTCCAATCCAACCTTCTAATTTTACCTCTGAGGAAACAGGCATTCACTTGTCTGCATCCGTTTTGCAAGTTTACAGACTCTTGCATTTAACGAAGTTGGAAAATCAATCAAATTTAAATTTGACGAAACATAGGAGGTCTTGTGCTACCTCTGACCCAATACGGGAATTTCTTCTACTTACATTCCCGTGGTCATCTACTGTCTACATCAGGGGTCCCCAACCTCCGGGCCGCAGACCAATACCAGTCCGCAGTGTACTAGGAACTGGGACGCACAGCAGGAAGTGAGCGGAAGAGC